GTTTTTTTTTTTTTTTTTGTCTAGCTCTACAATCTGGCTAGATCTCTGAAGTTCCTCTCAAGGTAAAAATCAAAACAAAGAGAGTGCAATGGGTGCAAAGCTTGTGCTAGACATGGAGATGTGCTGCCTAGAGCCTCTTCAAGGAATGAGTTGATGCTCACTTGCAAGAATTGCTTGCATGAGGGCATGCCCTTCCCGAAGGAAACCACATGTAGCAACTGAGGGTGGAGGGCCCAGTTTGGCCTGATGATGGGCAGCTCTGATTCTCACTCCAGAGACTTGTACCAGGTTGTCCACAATTTGTTCAAGTTTCCTTTTTGGGGAAAAAAATGTGATTCAATTCACTGCATCACAACCCACTAGTGAATTCTTTTCTTTTTTTTTAATTTTTTTAATGTTTTATTTATTTCTAGGAGAGAGAGAGAGAGAAACAGCGTGAGCAGGGGAGGGTCAGAGAGAGAGGGAGTCACAGAATGAAACAGGCTCCAGGCTCTGAGCTGGCAGTCAGCACAGAGCCCGACGCGGGGCTCGAACCCACGAACTGCGAGATCATGACCTAAGCGAAAGTCGGACGCTTAACCGACTAAGCCACCCAGGCGCTCCTAGTGAATTCTTTTCTTACCTCAAAATGTAAGAGCCTAAAGAGATCTTCATCCCCTACAATTTCTTCCCTGTCCGTCCCCATGTTATCATCTTCAAATGAATCCAGCTGAACCTAACTTTTCAGTGGTTTGATGAAAATTTGAAAAGAACATCCACTGGCATGTTATTTCTGAACTCACGCAGGCCACTTCTACACTGCTCCTTCTCCTCTACTGACTCCTTCATCTCCTGGTTTCCTTATTTGGCATATAGGCACAGGGAGTAGTTATGTTTTCAGTTAAGGCAAGAGACTGGGGCAATTAAAGCTGAGTTATGTCATTTACCTTAAATAACTGGTGGTTAAGTGGTGTCCCTAAAACTCAAGAGAATTAACCACAAGGGGAAGGGGTTTGAGAATATGACACCCTCATCTCCCTTCCAGTAGGATATTTTCAGGAACTTGGCTCTTAGAATTATTAGTAGAGACAGTCATGAGCAAGGAGACATTCTATTTGTGAAATAATTAGATATAAACAGCCTCTGGGTGGTGGCTCTCTGGCTAGTCTTAATAGAACCTTAATTAGACTATTTATTAAATATATAATATTTAAAATTTATTAAATATAATATATAAAATTATATAAATATATAATAAGAATTATTTATAAATAAGACTATTTATTTGGAAAATGGCACCCCAATGTTAGTAGAACTCTGGGATGGCTCAGACAGAGAACTAGGTGAAGCAGAGAAGAGGAGGCAGACATGCTGTCTTCCCACTTTTTCAAGCTAGTGCTCTTTCCTCAATCATCCATCTGCCGCCAACCACATCTGAGATGTCTTCCTGGCTACCCATGCTCCATGGCATGCCTGTGATGGACACACAAATGACTACATTCTCAAGCCCCCTTGAATAGGTGGGCTATCCAGCTAATATTCTGGCTAATGACATTTTAGAGGAAATAATGTTTTGAAAGCCCCTGTATGATTCTTCAGTTTCTCTTCTCCTTTGTTATATCAATTGTTGACATTCTAGGTGGTGGAGTCTTCATCAACCCGGGTCCCTGAGTGAATAAATGGAGCAGCGCCCTCCCTCCACCCACATTTACCACAGACTCAAGAGACTCTGTAAAGGCAGGGATAAACCTTTCTATATTAAGCCACAGAAATTCGGGAATTGTTAGCATAGAATAAGCCTAACCTATCCTGACTATAATACCTTTGCAGTCAAATAACATGTTCAAGTACTTTTAAGTTTATTTTTGTCTCCACTGGGTGTATGATAGTTAAACATTTCCAGCTCTAGGATCTCTACACGCACTGCTCACTGAGTAATTTCAGTAGCCTACATAAACTTTCTGGGTTACAATTTCTGTTCTTTGCCTTTTGTACCTTACAACTTACACATGCAACTTGAGATTAGTGACATTGGACATATTCCCTGCTTAGGTTAAAAGGAATATAACCATGCTGCACTCAGAAAAAGACACGATGAAGTTACCACAGTCTCAATCAACCTCCAGACAAGGCTTCCAAGGACACCATGCTGTGGAACCACCATGGTGTAGGTTGGTCTTCATCACTGGGAGACCAGAAATTATTTTCCCTGTACACTAAAAGGTTTTCAGGGATCAGCTTATACTAATCAGACTCATATACAAAAAGATCAATATATAAGCCAGACATCATTTTGTTTTTTACAATGGGAATTTTTTCCACTTACATGAATATTCATGAGCATAATCCAGGATGGTTCCCCTCTACTAAGACAAACCAGGGAAGACAGAACACACAAAGGAAGACTGACAGTTGGGTATTGGCGAGGCTGACTATCTTGGGGATCATTCCCTCCAGACCTACTAAAGTAGGTCTTAATGAATTATTGAAAAGTTTGAATTCTCTCTCTCTCTCTCTCATATATACACACACACCCACACACACACATTCACATAATGTTGAATAAATACTAACAAATTCTTGTTTTCAAGTTCCTGAATTTTCTTCAAACAAGGTTTAATAAAACCCACTGGATGTTTGTTGTCACTGGGCCAATAATTGTTCAATCTTTATTGGCTCAGCCAATCATTTAGAGAAAACATCTTCACCATTTCAATAAATGACTGCTTTCATCCACTTTACTTAAATATGTTCTAATTTGGGGAGTGAATATTAATCTCATATATCACACAATCAGAATTGAGTCTTGGGTCTCAGTAGCAGAAATGTCTTGATAAATCTACATTGGGGTTTGGAAAACTACAGCCTGGGAGCCAAATCCAACCTGCCACTTGTTTTTGTAAATAACATTTTATTGGAACACATCCATGCCCATAACTTACATATTGTCTATGGCTGCTTTCACTCCCCATCAGAAGAGTTGAGTAGTAGTGACAGAGCCTAAAATATTTACTATCTGGGTTTCTTTACAGAATATGTTTGTTGACCCATTCTGTAGACAATGGTTTTTTCATTTTCCAACCAAATAATCCCTCTTACCAATGGCTATGGTCAATAAGTTTAGTCAGATGTACCCTCCAGGTGATGGGCAGAAAATATCCACATGTAGAATTTCTATACTCGTGTATACTGGTGGCCTTATGGTTCCTACAGTTTCCAATGACTTGAAAAAATCAATTTCCATAATGAACTTGCTGTAGATCACATTGTAGAGATCAATTGCTTGTAGAGATCAACACTGAATAGAGAACTTCAAATTGCCCAGAAAGTTATCAAAGACATAGATCCTCCAAGAAAATTGATCACTACCTTCGATAAACTAGTCGATTCTTTGGGCTTCAGTTTTTTCATCTGTAAAATCAAGTAGCTCATCCTCCATAATGGGTTGTTGTAAAAATCAAATAAGAGAAAGAAAGGAAATATGTTGTAAGGTCATATGTTATAAGGTCTTTTGTAAATGTGAGAGGGAGTACAGTCACTTTAGAAATCCTTGCATCACACTGTTTCATATCTAGCAAATGTTCAACACCAGCAGGTGTTCCCTGGGATTGTTTGCTGTCCCCAAATTTCCTCAGTTGCTATCTCAAGGCCTTGACACCAAACACCCTGGATGCTCCCCTTATGTAAGCCCAGTCCTGCAGACAAGACACAACATCGGCCCTTCTGCTGGAAACATTCACCTTCACTTGTTCACAGAGGTGTCTCAGATGCTTCCCAAGTTTAAGCACATTGAACAGGAATCCCACTTTGAAGTGGCTTACTGAGTAACTGGGAAAGCCCTGAGACACCCTCAGGTAATGTCAGAGGGTGACAGATGGGAGAGGTGAGCTGTGTGCCAGACAGCATTGGGTATACTGTATCACCCATCATGGAGGGTCTCTCTGATTCCTCCAGCCTGACATTCTGAGAGTAAATGAGCAGTAGTCTCTTGGGCATCATCCAAACCTCTATAATTTATTGAAAATCAAATGATCATCTCTAGGCACCCAGAAGAAAAAATGTTATAATCCTTAAGTGTACACAGTGAGGGCACAACGTGTGTGTGTGTGTGTGTGTGTGTGTGCGTGTGTGTGTGTGTGACTATACAAATTTGGCTAATGCATCAAGGGACTGTGTGTGTGAGTGCCTATGAGTTAGCATAAATGTAATCAAGATACAGGAGAGGGGCATGGTAAAGACTGTCAACCCTGAAACCAATTGCCTGGTCCTGATTCCAGAACAGCCACCTCCTAGCTGTAGGCCCATTGTGGGCAATGTAGTAGATTAGATCACCGCTCAGCAAAATATTTCCTGACCCCCTTCACCTCCCTAGGAGAACTGTCCTTTGCTGCCCCATGAAAGTTGGGTTTGGTCATGGTACGTGGCTTTGGCAGATAGAATCTGGGCAGAAATGGCAATGTGGCAGTCCTAAAGCCAAGCACTTAAGAGACATCCCGTATTCCTGTTCATTCCTCTGATACTATCTGACTTCTCCAAGAAAGAAGATTGCCCCAAGTAGCCACTGACTCTCCATCCTGGGCCCCAAATATAACTCATGAAGCAGAGCCACCCTGGTCAACCCACAGACCTGTAGGTTATGTGCAAATAGTGCTTGTTGCTGCATGCCACTGAGATTTTACTTTTATTTGTTACACAGGGAAAACTGACTGATACAGGCAAGTCGATTAATCCCCATTTCTTCTCCAGGGAAGTGGGGAGAATACGTATGGCCTGCTGCAAAGTGTTGTTATAAGAATTAAAAAAGTCAATGTCTGTTAAGCACTTAGAACACTTCCTGGCACATAGTAAGTGCTTGGTAAGTGTTAGCTGCTGTCGCTGTGTGTACATGTATGAGGAAGCAGGTACCCAAGTGGGCAAGAGGGGGTAAGTGTGGGGTCAGGTGTCAGAGTAAGTATGTGGGAGTGGAAGACAGAGAGTGGACGGGGGCAGGTGTGTGGGCACCTGGAGGGGAGCTGAGTACCTCAGCAGAAGTACTCATTGATCCGTCTGCCCCCCCTGCCCACCCAGACCTGAGAGTCCAGGCTGGAACGGGCCGAGAGGAGCCTGTCGGCCTCACTAAGGCTGTGCTGGGACAGCTCCTCAGAGCCATCCTCGCTGTGGCCCAGCCTCTCCAGGTTGACGTAGGCACCGGTGGCCTCTGTGGAGTCCCCAGTGCGGCACTTCTGGCAGCGCCTTCGCAGAGCACCACAGCAGACGAGCAGGGTGAGGGGCAGGGCGATGACAATGGCCACACTGATCACCACCACATTGATGAGCCGCTGGGTGGCTTCGGCATCTACCACCTCGTCCGTGGAGAAGATGACACACTGCTCCTTCTGGGGCACCAGGTCCCGCACACAGACACATGCCACGTACTTGGTCTTGGGCGCCAGCCCACGGATGGTGATGCTGGTCTTTCCAGGTGGCACAACCACCCTCCGCATGTTGCGCTGCCCAAAGACCGCATAGAGGACACTGAAGGTGGTTGTGCTCCCCCCCTGGTGGGCCTTCCACACCAAGGTCACACTCTGGTAAGTGTCTCCCACCACCTTGAGAGACCTCACCATCTGGGCCTCCTGGCGTCCCGCCCGCCTGTCCGAGCTTTCTCCTGGGATCCCCATCTGGAAGTGCTGGAGGCTCAGCTCCTCCTTCACGCTGGGCAGGGGGGGCCCAGTGGCCAGGACAGCAGGTTCAGGGATGTCGGGGACATGCCTGGCCACCATCTTGTTGTATGCGGCAGCTTCCGCCCCCTCACCTGTCCTTGCCCACAATGCCCCTGGGCTCCCACTGTGTTCTGTGGAAGCCTGGGGCTCAGTGACGGCCAAGGAGATGACAGTCTCTGAGACTCCCAGAAAGTTCTTGGCCTGGCAGATGTAGTCTCCAGAGTCGAGGTGGGACACAGCAGGCAGGCCGAGCAGTGTCCAGCTCGTGCCATCGCTGGCGACTTCCTGGTGCACTGAGGGAAAAGAGGCATAAAGCAGGAAAATGAATGGGCCCATCTGCCCCAAGCTTCCTCCTAGGGCCAAGTTCACAGCCCCTGGACTGTGTATGCTCTTGTATACACAGGAGACCTTGTCTACCCAACAAAAAAGAACAGTCTGTGCTCTGTAACCCAAGCATTTAGCCTCTCAGAGTCTGTTTACTTACAGAACAAAAGTTTGTTCTTTAAAGTTCAATGACATTATGCACATAATATACTTAACACCTGAGGAGCTCAATAGACGGCAACTCATATCCTTAATCACTCCTAGTGATACTGACTAAATATTTACAATTTGGAAACTTACTATAAATATCAAATATACTAAGAATATTTTTTTAAAAAATTTTTAATGTTTTATTTATTTCTGAGAGAGAGAGAGAGAGAGACAGCATGAGCAGGGGAGGGTCAGAGAGAGGAGGTACAGAATCTGAAACAGACTCCAGGCTCTGAGCTAGCTGTCAGCACAGAGCCCAATGCGGGGCTCGAACCCACGAACCCTGAGATCATGACCTGAGCTGGCTGGGCGCTTAACCGACTGAGCCACCCAGGCACCCCACTAAAAATATCTTCCACCAAAATGGCATCATTTTGTTCCTCCCAGGGTGGGCCCTGATCAGAGTGACTCCTGGAATATGTAGGGTAGGTTGACAGCTATTGTCATCATGGAAGCCATTGTCCCATGTTCCGTGTCTGGACAGAGCCTGTCCACCTCCACGCAGCCACAACGGGAGTAAACAGCTTCGCTTAGCCTACCTCCCTCTCCTCGGCAGATCTGACCTCCCACCAAGGATGCTGACCGCCTCCCACTCATCTGTATAATCTCAGCCCCGCAGTCCCTGTAGCTCACACACCTGTGCCATTGAGCGGGTACCCATTGGCTCTCCTCCAGCTCATCTCTGGCCCAGGGACACCGGTGGCCCCACAACGTAGCAATACTGCACTGCCCAGAGGGGACCGGAGGCTGGCTACCCCTGGTCGGAGCTCCGGACTCTGGCACTTCCTCAGTTCCAGTTGGCTGAAGGCCACTCCGGCCAGGCTGCGCGGGCTGGCACACTTCAGCCTGGCCTCTATGAAGGCCAGATTTGGGGCCCAGCCTTCCAGAAAATGGGCGAGGTCGTAGAGGCGACAGTCACATACCCAGGGGTTGTCCTGCAGCCCTGCAGGGACAAGAGGGGAAGCAAGAGTTGAGCCCTCAATATTCACATCCCTGTGCCCCGCCCCCCTTTCCGGTCAGGGAGAACAAGGCATATCCTGAGCTCAGAGTCAGCCGACCCGGCCTCCAGGTCCAGCTCCTTGCCTCTCTAGCTCTGCATCCTGAAGGCTGGTTCTTCATCTTGAATGATAGCAGTACTTCCCTCTGAGGGTTGCTATAGGTGTAAATAAAGATAAATCACATCAAGCATTTGGGTAAGCCATACAGCATGCTGACAAAATTGGCAGTTACTGCTGCCATTCCTGGACTGACCCTTTCAGGCTGCTTGCTGGTCAGGCAGTGGGTATTTCAGCAATACCTGCAGTATGCCAACACCCATTTCTCAGAATTCTTCGTGATCCCCGGCCCTTGACCCCTGTCCTCTCAGTTTATAATTCTCAATTTCAGCATCAGCATCACCCCAGCAGTGAGGGTGGCTGTTCTGAGCCATGGTCCCTTTGACACAAGCTCCCAAGGGGAGGAGTGAGGAGGCCAGGAAATCAAATCCTATGTCATATCCCCAGCCCTCTTTAAAACTGGACTTCTTTATAAAGATGAGAGTAGGTCACTGCACCCACCCTGTCCAGGAACCTTCTATAAATGGAGGCATATCATGTGTCCTCATTTTTAGGCACTATTCCTTTTTATATGTTTGCATTTCTGAAATATGGAACGAATGCATTTCATGTAGTGTCATCTTTTTTATCTCTCAATAATTGTTATTAAATTTGACAGTATGTCTAATAATCAATGGCATATTATTTATTTACACACATATATTTGATATATTTGGAAGGGGAAATTTAAGGTTTGAGGAGGTTGCATTCAGCTGCTTGTCGATCCGTGACTTTCAGGTCCTTCTGGACACTTGCTGGGAGAATACCAGTTCCTTCCTCCACCCATCCTCACTCCATCGCTATTGTAGCTGCTACCCTGTGTCACTGGTTAAATGCATTTGATGATACCTCTGCACCCCAAGAATCATGACTTCCCAGCTCTAGTGGTGAGCTATCTTGTATTCACCTCTTATTATAGAGCCCCCAAAGAATTAATGCAAGCAGCAAAGTTAAATGACAGGGAAACTTTTACCCCTAAGACTGGCAAAAGTTAAACACTCCAACCATTTAAATTATTAGCCTCATGAGGGATTAGATTTTCATCTATCTTCTTCCCAGCTATATCCCCAGAACCTAGTACCAAGCCCCCACACTGATAGGCACTCAAATAAACTTGAGGAGTGAACCCCTGCATGGGTGGTCTCACACAGCCCGGGGAGGGGGTGAGAATCGGCCCAGCCACTTGGAGACCATTAGATTGATATTAAAATGTCTAATGTGCCCACTCCATGGCCTAGGATTCCATTTTTCAGTTCTTATCCTAGAGAAACATTTGTGTCTGTGCACAAGGGTGCATTGTCAAGAATGTTCTCTGTGTCATCATAGGTGTTAATAAAATAATGGAAACAACCTAAGGGTCCATTAAAGGGAGAATGGCTAAATTAGCTGTAGTATAACTCTACTATGAAAAATTATGCAACAGTTTATTTAAAAAATGAAGTTGATCCATTTGTAGCAACTTACAAAGATTTCCAAGACATATTGCTGAATGAAAAAGTTAGTGCTGGTTGATATAAACAATATGATACATACAATATGAAATTTTATGTAAACACAGATAAAACTTCAATGTGCATGTATGTATATATATGTATGTGCATGTATATGTATTTTTTTTAAGGAGGCTTCACACCCAGTGCAGAGCCCAGCACAGGGCTTGACCTCACAACCCTGAGATCAAGACCTAAGCTAAGATCAAGAGTTGGAAGCTTAACTGACTGAGCCACCCAAGCACCCCTGTAAATGCATTCAAAAAGAGAACATGCAAATGAACATAAGAGTGGCTAATTGTTAGAAGGGGGAGAAGGATTTGGGATCAGAAGAGGAAACAAAAGGGGTTTTAGCTTTTTCTGTAATGTTTTAAATGTTTACATATATTCATGTGTGAGTTATGTCATTAAAATTAAAATTAATATTAATTTTCTGGAATGACTGATGCCACCTGTCACACTCACGGCTAGGCATGAGCCTTGGGCAGGAAAAGAGATATAGTTCACCTGGTTAGACATTGGTTCATTACAAACAAGAAGGAATCAGAGAGGGGTCAGCTTGTGTAACCATTCCATTCTGCTTTGGGAAACTGATTCTCAGGGGGCCTTTTCCTGGCTGCATGACCTGGAAGATCTCTTGTACATCATTTTCCTTATTTGTAACACTGGGTCAACTCCCCTTGCTCTGGCTGCTGGACATGGTCATTGGAAAAGGTTATCAGATCTTTCATATATTTATGTTCGTTAAGGCGGAAAGGAAGGAAGGAAGTAGGAGGGCGACATGGAGATGAGACCTGGGCCTGCTGAACCCGAGGGACTTGGGAGCTGAAAGAACCCATCAAAGTCATGCCAAGCAGACTCCCAGCTGATAGGTCTTTGGCTCGGGGGCTGTGTCCAGAAAGGATGGGTGGCTTTGGGCAAGGCTGCCCTGACAGGGCTGCCAGCTGAAGGCTGCTGCTGACAGTGCCCCAAAGCCTGGGCAGCCAGCCCTACCTTGATGTGGACCCGGGTTGCACATAGCTGTGTCTGCCACATGTATCTACTGTGTGCTAAGAACTGACTTATAAGCGCAACTCGGACCTTTTGAGATAGGTGTTATTACCATTCTCTCTTCACAGAAGGGAACCAAGGCACAGAGAAGCTAAGCAATTTCCCCGGGGGACACACAGCTAGTAAGAAGCTGCGCTGGGATTTGGACTGGCAGCAGCCTGAGCTCCAAACCTGCCAGTGTGTGCCTCTCACTCAGTCTTCACTCAAACCCAGAAGGTAGGCGTGATTTCTATTTTTGGGGTAAAGAATCGAGACTGAGAGAGGCTTAATAACTTGCCTAAGGACCCCCAGACTCCCCAAGGTGGCTCCAAGTGAAGGATGCCGCCTCTTACCTAGCACCAGCCTGGTGCGGTGGCCGGGAAGGAAGGGCCCGGTCTGCAGGTGAGCCCAGGTGGCCAGCAGCTCCTGCGGGAGCCTCATCAGCTGGTTGCTGGAGAGGTCGAGGAAGGTGAGGTTCCCCAGGAAGCGCGCGGCCTCGGGCGGCACGGCCGAGAGGCGGTTGGCCTGCAGGTCCAGCAGCCGCAGCTGGGGGGCGTCCCTGAGCGCCGCCCAAGGGAAGGCGGCCAGGCGGTTCCCGGGAAGGCGCAGCTCTCGCAGGCGGCGCAGGCCCCTCAGCATGAGGGCGCTGAGCTCGCTGAGGGCGTTGTAGGGCAGCCACAGCTGCTCCAGGCGGCCCAGCGGCCTGAAGGCCTCCGCGGGCACCCTGCGAATGGCCGTCCGCTCCAGGCGCAGTCTGCAGGTGTCCGGAGGGACGGACGCGGGGGGCAGGGTCATGTCGGGGTCGCTGCACACCACCGTCCTGGTCACAGAAAAGGGGAGGGGGGGACATTTGAGCGAGGGTCCTGTCGGGTCCGCGATCCTACCCCGCTTCCTCCAGGGAGGCCTCCTGGTCTGCACGGGAACCCGGGACCACCAAACCCAGGCTCCTCGCTGTGGTGGGTCCTGGAGGTGATTTTCCTTTGAGGGGCTTCTTGCTTTCAGAGCCTTTCACAGGGGTCCCCGAGGGCCATTTGGTCCTGTCCCTGGCTGAAGGACCTACGTGTCCCATGACAGCTCACACCACCTGCAGTGCACTAAGAATGACTAGTATTCGTAAATCCCGAGATCATTTTGAGCATTGCAGCGCTGCATACATGTGTTAAGTGTTCCTTTGTTAAATTATACCTCCGTTTTTGCGATATTATTTATATGACATATAATATACTATATGTCATATAATAATAGGACATATAATATACTATATATTTTACATACAATCTGCTACAGGAGTGCAGTGCTATTTAGTGACCACTATCAGAAATTTCTGCATTCCGGGGCGCCTGGGTGGCTTAGTCAGTTAAGCGTCCGACTTTCGCTTAGGTCATGATCTCGCGGTTCATGGGTTCGAGCCCCGCTTCGGGCTCTGTGCTGACTGCCAGCTCAGAGCCTGGAGCCTGTTTCAGTCTGTGACTCCCTCTCTCTCTGACCCTCCCTTGCTCACGCTGTCTCTCTCTCTCTCTCCTAGAAATAAATAAAACATTTTAAAAAAAATAAAAAAAAGAAATTTCTGCATTCCAGCTCTTTGCTGTGATCCCTCTACAGCGACTTCCTAAACTTTGTTCAACTAAGTTTGGCACTGAGGCAGAGGACAGAGAGATGAAAAGAAGCAGGCCTTGCCCTCCAAGAGGCCACAAGTCAAGGCTGTGTTATATGCCATCGCCGAGAGCAGCACACTCACGCAAGGTAGAAAGGAAAAGATTCTCAAGGAGATAAAGCTTGGAGGCTGGGTCCCTCCGGTCATTGTGCAGCCTGTTTTCACCTAGAGGGCTTCTCTGCTCCCGCTGGAGCAGGTGGAGATGGGGGTCAAGTTTTGCTTTGCTAGGGGACCTTGTTCTCTTGGGCTGCTTACATCAGGCCTTCCCGGTGTAACACACACTCTGCCAGCCTCTCAGCTCGACCTGAGTACTCTGTTCAGAGCTGACTGGCTGCACTTGGCTTGCTGTTCCCTTGTCAGGGGCCCAGGGATTCCCACCCACTCACTTTGTTCAGATATACATGGATACCCCTCTCCCTCCACTGAGGGTACTGAGGGCTGGGTGCTGTGGAGATTCAGAAGAATATCAGACTCATAGCCCCTGTCCCTATACAATAGCTTACAATCCAGCTAAGGAAGAGAGAGCACTGGGGGCAGTGATATTTTCAATGATAATGGAGTTTGGATGTTGCAGGGAGGAAGGTGTGGATATACGCGGGAGGAAGGCAGTTGATGGGGAAACACGCCCTGAAATTCATCAAAGGAGGGATCAAAGAAACCACTAAGAAGCCAGCACAGGCGAACAGCACATCTGGTGGGGAAAACTGGGCATAAAAACATGGGGACACTTCTGTCTGGGTGCCCAGACTGGCCACCCCAAGGATGCACCCGTTTCCAGAAGTACCCACAAGTTCATGATGTGGGAGCATGGAGCATGGGCAGGTCACCCAGGCTGTTCAGATGTAACCATGGAACCCTCTGACAGTCCCTGATTGGAGGTGGGCTGAGGAAGGCATCTGAGATGAGGAAGGAGCCTGTCTGGCTGTGCTATCTGTGCCTGTGGCTGTTGGGGACCTCAGGGCCTCCTATAGCCTTTCATGGCATCATTGCTCTCATAGGACACTCCATGCAGAATGGGCTGGTGCCTATGAGCCATGAGACTGTCAGGCAGGTGGAACTCATGGTAAGAGCTCTGGCTTCAGAGGAGGGATGGCCACTCACTGACATTAGGGCCCTGGAAGCTGACCTTGGAGCTTTATTTTCTATCTTAAGGCTAACCTGGAATCACAAGCCTTCTCCCGGTCCCTGCCCACGACAGCATTACCAGCTGAGACAAGATCCGGAGATGGAACTAAAGCCCTGGGTTCTAGAACCAGGTCTGTCACTGATGCTGTGTGACTCTCAGTCCTGCGCTTTCTGTAAGTAGCAGGAGAGGCTCTTCATCACCCTAGTCACACTGTCCCTGGCCACGGGCTATTTCCTGGCTGGCTCAGTGCTTATTCCTGGCTTTCCTTGGGGAGAGCATCCTTACCTCTGATGATCCGTATGGGTTGGAGCATCAGAGACTTGGGTCAAAAGTGGAGTTCTCGTTTTTCAGACCACACAAGGTATCCTTTCTTGGGGGTGACTCTCCATTCTCTCCATCCCCTCACACCCAATCAACCCAACACCCATTACCAGGAATCATTTTAAGTGTCACACTGATAACACTGCTGCCCTGATCAGAAATCATCAGTGGCTCCCAGCACCCATCTAAGACAAGGGAGAAGGGGAGAATAGAATTCCAAAATGTTGAAAAGATGGTAGTAAAGGCCCTTAGCCAAAGGCTGAAATCCCCAAGCAAGTTGGGAAATGCAATGGTCATTAGTAGATAAATTGAAGGTGTCAGAGAAATGATAGTCTAAAGACTGCCAAAAAGAAAAAGAGAGAGAGCCATGGTGGGAGAGCAAGGGTCCACAAATCACAGTGGCTTTGGAATATCCCATGGAAGGGGAGGAGAAGATGGAGGTGCTCTCAGGGCTCAGGTAGGGCTTGGGGAAAGTCAAAGAAAAGACTGAGGATGGAGGGGTACTTGCTTGCAATGGAATGGGGCATTCCTGGGCTTCTGGAGAGCCCATAGAAATATGTTGAGGCTGGGGCGCCTGGGTGGCTTAGTCGGTTAAGCGTCCGACTTTCGCTTAGGCCATGATCTCGCGGTTTGTGGGTTCGAGCCCCGCATCGGGCTCTGTGCTGACTGCCAGCTCAGAGCCTGGAGCCTGTTTCAGTCTGTTACTCCCTCTCTCTCTGACCCTCCCCTGCTCGCGCTGTCTCTCTCTCTTTCTCCTAGAAATAAATAAAAACCTTAAAAAAGAATTAAAAAAAAAGAAGTGATACCAATTTAAAAAAAAAAAAAAGAAATATGTTGAGGCTGAGGCTCCTGGGGGATGGGCCAGAGTTACCCCGAAGTAAGGAAAGCAGGAGGAAGCAGGTGGTCACCTGTATGGTGAGGTGTTAAGAAGTACCAGGGCTGTATCAACAGATGAATGGATCAAGAAGATGTGGTTTATCTATACCATGGAATACTACATGGCAATGAGAAACAATGAAATCTGGCCATGTGTAGCAAC